TATGTATGTATGTATGTATGTATGTATGTATGTATGTATGTATGTATGTATGTATGTATGTATGTATGTATGTATGTATGTATGTATGTATGTATAGAGAGCAATGTATGAACATAAAGTCCACTCGTCCTTCCTTCGCAAGGCCACCTAGGGGAGCAGCATTAATCACCCTAACCCTTTCCGTCCGTGTCGCCTTGGCAAAAGTAAACAAACCTCCCAACCTGTATAGGGGAATCAAGGACTCGAACCCAGTCACTTTTGAAACTTCCAGCAAAACAAAATTTCGAGCTCACGCTCGAAAGGTGTAATTCCAAAGATTGATAATGCGGCTTGGTGCAGTGAGCCAAGGATTCATCTGGTAAAAGGCAAGGTGAATGCTGATTAACCCAACTGCGCCGTCAAGGAAAACAAAATTTGAGTTGATTATATACTAGGACTGTAGGCTGCCGAAGATCTGCCGAATCTTGCCCCGCGCCGCCTCAAGGGATTCTCCAGTCTCTTCCATTCTTTTCACCTCATGAGAAGAGACAGTACAATTAAGATCCAGGATAGGTGATAAAAAGTCTCCAAAGCTCCAGAGAAATAACGCCACAAGGGTATCTATCCCATTCCATCCCATCAAAGCCTCCATCAATTAATCACTCAAATCACCTCATCATTTAATCTGCTGTTTCGTCATACTCAAATCCCTCACAAACTCCTCCACAATTTTATCATCCAATTCATCGACTCTAGGGTCTACCTTCTTCTCCTTGACTTCCTCTTCCTTCTCTTCAGTCTTGCTTCCCAGTCCCACGGCTCCCATCACAACTGCTGGGAGTGCCGAGACTTGTTCAACGGCTTGGCCGGCTAATTGTTGCGCTTGCTCGAGCACGCCGGGTTTCTCGGCTCCATCATCGATGAGAGGAGTTTCTTTCGGAGCTTGACCTACGGTGCGGGTTTCCACGACGGTGTGGCTTGTTCCTTGACCGTCGATGGTGGTGTTTGGTGTTCCGTGCTCTAATTGGCCTTCAGCGTGTGTGCCGCTTTGTTGCTCGAAGCGGGTTGAGGAAGTTCCTTGACGGGAATCTGCGGGTGGTGAGGAGACTTCTTTGTCGTGGTAGGGGACGGTGTAGGTTCCTGCTCGGGATGTCTCTGGGAGGGAAGATTCAGAGGATTCGTTGCGGATGTGTTCTGGGTCGGATGATGTTGTCGTTGCAGGAGTAGTCTCGGGAGCCAGCTTTGAAGCGGCGACTGTGTTGAAAGACTTTGGTTCGCCATTCTGTTCTGTTTGCACAACAGGTGTAGACGCTCCGTCCATTGTTGCAGTACTGGTAGCCATGGTAGTTGGTTCAATCGGGTTTCCGTTGGATTCCTTCTTCTCACTCTGACTCGCAGGTGTGGGTGCTTGTCCAGATGCAGAAGCAAATCTCTGAGCAGATTGTCTTCCAGGACTGAGAGCAAGTCTGGCAACTCCAGCATCAGGATGTAGACCCGCCAAGACTGTCTTCCGCGGCGCGCCGTTTCTGCAAGTTTCAGGTCAGCCATGGCATCATTTCTTCAGGGATATCTTGGTTTCACCCACTCGCTGCCAACTCCCACTGCAACCAGATCGCCGTCTTGATCATACTCCCACTTGATTGGTCCAATGGGGAATGTTCTGTGTCCCTTTTCTTTGACATCTTCCTTCCACCTCATTGATTCAACGATTTTGTCTTCCAGGAAAGGCATGTCTCCAAAACTCCAGTCCAGCTGTCCTCCATACTTCTWGGGAATGTTCTCCATGGGGATAAATCTACTCAAGACTTCCAACTTCTTCCCATCTGGCACGATTTGAATCTTGGCGACGGTAATCGGATCGAACCAATTCTTCACCCAGTCCCACACAGTAGGGAAGAAGCTGGGAGCACCAATCACGAAGATTCTATCCAGCGTTTCCGGGTAGTGAGCAGTAGCAAGAGCGGAAGAGTCTTGCAGATGGGAGCGGAGATTCCAAAACTGCTTCAATCCCACCTTGGAAATGTCCACAATGTTKCTGCTCTGACTGACGGGGGTGGAAGCATTCGGACGACCAGGAATGGCCGAACAGAGTGGAAGAACGAAACGACACATGTTCTCATACAACGCGAACAAGCGCAACATCTTCCTGGGAACCTTGCTCTTGACCGCATCCTTTCCTTTTTTCTTATCCCGGTCCGAGTCCTGCTCATATGCAGTGATGTCCTTGTATTTCACATTGGCGACTTCGAAAACGTAGAGAGGGATGCCACGGTTGTCTCTCCGTCCCGTCCATTGTGGATAGAGACGTCGGGTCTGCTCATACTCTTGGACATCAATTCCTTCGTAGAGGGAATCCAGCTGGTTCTCCTTCCGCCAGTCTTCTGTGGTTTTGAATTGACCAAAAGCATCGTTGGGAACGAACTTCCTTGCACGGAGATATCTTAGAAGCGTCTCATCGTCATGGGAGGCGGATGTTTTGGACTCGGGATCGGCGGGTTCGTAGTATCCTTTTCGGTGGCAGAGTTTCTTGAACTCTTCAAGTGCCGATGATTGAGAGTCGGAGAGTTGGCCGGCGTGACCTGCGGGCCACTGTGTGGCAATCTTGTCAGTTTTGTGGTGAGAAGAAGATCATGTCAGCTGCTTACTTACGGTGTAGGAAGCGACACGCTTCAAGTCGGCTCCCGGTGGCTTCAGAGAATTGTTGCTCATTGCGGGAAAGAATGGTGCACGTGCAGGGAGGATGTAAATAGGGTAATGTAGACGTCACACAGCAGAAAAGCAGCAGTGCACAAGGAGGAGGAAAAATGAAAAATGAATTGTCTATGTATAGTATAGTGTAGTATAAGCACGGCACCGCACCTTGCGTTCTGTTCCCTCGCGTCCGTCGTGATTATGACGGCATGTCCTGCCCCGCGCTCCGTTCATGTGCGAAAGGCCGGTGGGAAATACCTTGCCTTGCCTTGCATTATGCGCGCGGATGCTCGAGGAATCGGCTGACAATCCGCCCGGACTTCCGGGGCGGCGTTAACATTAGAAATGTGGTGGGTTGGTGCTGATGATGCTGTCAGCGGTTGTGTTGCATGTGTTGCTGGTTGTCACAAGCATCGCCTGGCTTGATGCAAATTGACAGGTCGCGTCGTCATGGTTGATGGAGGTTGGAATGAAACAATGGAAGCTTTGAAGCGGAGTGACCTCATTAATTATCCGTCCATCAATTGACGGTGGATAGGTATCCCTGTCGCATGACCATCTTCACTTGTACATCCCCCACCATGGCCACCAACACCACCGCCACCCCTCTCCCTCCCCCCATCTTGCGACTCCCCGACGAGTTGCTCGAGGCGATTGTAGAATATCTCCCACCCCGCGAGACTGTCGCGTGTGGCTGCACATGCTCCCGCTTCAACAAAATCACCTACGAACCGCTGGTTTGGCGACGACATTGTATCCGGCGATGGCGCTTCTGGGACGAGAGGCACGAGCTGGAAGAGAAGCTGGCCCTCCCACCCGTGCAGACCAAATGGCGACAATTGTTCCAGCAGCGGGACAAGTCAGATCAGGACGCAATGGAGCTGTTTGATAAGATGCTCCTCACCCAGCAGCATCGGTATGCCCGCATGGAAACACTGGCGGCCGGAGGATATGACGTGAAAGATCTCATGCGGAAATTAAGGGATAAGACGGATGATGATGCGCACGATGTCCTGGCCCGACGATTCCACGCGACCGCCATCTTGGGACAGATCCACCGCGCGACGGCACTCGACAAGTGGACCCGCCTCCAGCAACGACAGATGGTGCGACTGGAGGAGGTGCTCAGTGCATACGACATGTTTGTCCTGTCCGGCGAGAGGGGTGATATGAGGCAGATTGAGCGGGAATTGGATCGTCTGGCCGAGTGTGTTCGCGCCACCACCTCCGACTTTGACGCCCTTTCCACCCGACAAAAGGCCATTGAGACGGCACGCTATCTCCGCGAGCAACGTTTGGTGGGAAATCCCTCCGAAGACAACTACCATGCTCTTCGCAACAACTTCCTCTCCATGGCCCTCTTCGACGAACCACACACCTCGCTCCCTCTCCAATCCGTTGCCATTTACTGTGCAGTGGCGAGAAGATTGGGTATCAACGCCAAACCCTCCAACTACCCACATCATGTGCATGCTGTCATTGAGGCTCCATGCGATTATACCCTCGATGGCCAACGCAAGAGTTCCCTCGATTCATCGTCAACAGAAGAGCATGTCACCGAAACGATGCACATGGATCCGTGGCGTTCATCCGAAGAAGTCCCTCAAGAAACCCTCCGTCTGCGTCTTCTTCAAATGGGAGCTCCTCCAGCACACCACGCCCGGCATTTAGGAAGCACCTCCACTCTGGAAGTCGCTCTCCGCACAGGCCGAAACATTATGACTTCGGTCCAGGACAGCCGCGAACGCCAACGATCAGGCTCCACATCAACACCCTATCCCCTCTCAGATCCCGATGTTGAAGCTTCATGGTACAGCATGTTGTGGTCCATGTTGGTCCTAGGTGACCACAATGCCGACTCGTCTCTTCATCGAAGAAAGCAATGTCTCCCATACCTCATCGAACACTTCCAAGCTCACTTCCCCGAAGATCTGGGATTGATTGAAAAGCATCTCCCTCATCTATTCGAAGGCGAGCAAGAACACAACTTCCTCACACAACTCATCACCACGGCTCGAGCAGCAGACGACAACAAGAAGGCTCCCAACTATCGACATGTACAAGAAAAGCAAACTTGGCGAGCAGACGAATTCTCAACAACCATGACGGAATATGTGACGAGGACCCTGCCCATCAAACACAAAATCGGCACTCACCYCCGCCACCGCCGCTTCGGCTACGAAGGCGTCATCGTCGGCTGGGATGTCCGCTGCGACGCCGAACCTCGTTGGATCGAACAGATGCGTGTCGACGACCTCCCTCGAGGCCGTCATCAACCCTTTTACAATGTGGTGTATGACTCCCCCATCACGCGTTGCAAAGTCTTTTATTCCGTCATGTGTGCTGATGTTTTTGGGGGATATAGGGCCGATGACAAGAGTGTGCGCTATGTGGCCGAGGAGAATGTCGTGGCGTTGACGACGGGAGAGGTGCCGGGAGAGGGCATCATGAGTTTGGCCGGCAGGTGGTTTCTACGCTGGGATCCCATGGCTGAAGGCGGAGGGAGGTTTGTGAGTAATATGAAGGAGGAGTATCCGCATGATTGATGGTGTGTGGGGATGAGGGATGAAATTATGGACTTTCGTTGAGATGTCAATGAGTGAATGAATGTGATGAGATATGTGGTTTATGGTTCGGGAAGGACGGGCGAAAAGAAAGAAGCTCGGCATTTTGACAGTAAGTCGACCCTTTTCACTTCATCTTATATCTCTCTTCCTTACAGATCAACAAAAGTTTGAGTGTCGGATCGTTCTGCATGCGGCATGGCATGTTAAGCTGCAAATGCGACTGTAGAGATAGTTGCGACGTTCTGTCTGTTACTTTTGCTTGGACTTTTTCTTCGGTCTGGAGTGATGGCTTGCAAAATGGAAACTGTCTCTCATTTACTTACACTTCATCTGCTGGGTTGGATTGGACTAGGGTAAGGGTTGGGGTCGTGAAGAATGTTATGGGCTTGTGAGGTAGTCGGGGAGAATGATGATTGCAGAGTGTTTGTTTGTTAAAGGTAAGAAGATTATTTATAGCGATTGTGGAGAGTTTGTGTTTTGCTGGAGATTTGATGGGGTGGTTGAGATTGTGTGCGGCTCAGGTATGCATGTATAGTGATGCTCCGTGTGCTTTTTACGATCGTTCAACGTTGGGTTCTGGTGGGAGGATGTATGTATGCTGCATGTCACGTTGTGATGATAAACGGATGGATGTTTTGGAACAAGGCTTTTTATCTCCCAAGGTGAAGTATGAAACGCTGTGACAACGTCGATACGGAGACCGCCCCTTCAGGTTTCGTTGGTACCTCATCGTTGGGATAAGCGGCAGCGTGCTCGTGATATCTGCTCCTCCACCAATTCCAGTAAAAAGGGTCTTTGCTTTTCGCAATGTCTTTCCCACAGCCACTCACGACCGATTGTAACAGACAAACTCCTTGCCCGAGATGATAATGTGACCACCTGCAACAGCGTTCGTTCCTCGACGCAAGAATCTAGCATTCTCGTCAGTTAGAAGCGATCAGGACAACATCAAAGTCACTTGATACAACTCACGACATCATAAAAGTGAAAAACTCCCCATCAATTCACCCTCCAACCATGCTCAAAGCCTCTCACATCTCAACCCACAACCCC